GGGTAGATCTGACAATGAGCAAAGTGCTAGTTGCTATTCGAGTCTCTTTTATTACACAACAGTCGAACCATGAGCCTTTGAGCCCCTCGATAAATCAGCAGATTTTAAATTCACTTTCACGCGAAAACAAAACCCATAAGATAATCGTGAAATCGAACAAATTTCAAAGCAGATAGGGATATCACACAGTCAGGGTAGTGGTCAACCACTTGACGCAAAGGGAGGATTATCTGGTGAGCATTGAAATTAAGTTTAAAAGCGGAGGTAGCCTGGACTAATCATACCGGGAAAGGTTTTGCAAGTCTCAAGAAAGACTAGCTAGTATTGCCAATTTTCGAACGATTCTTTCTTTAATGTTTACATGGATTTATAATCTGAATATTGAGTTTGCTTGACCAAATACATAGGATAAAACATTATGTTTTACTACGAACACACATACGCACACCAAAGAACACCCAAAAATAGAACCTTTGATGGCACTTTAAAGTTTGAAGACGAAAATCAGGAGGATTCAAGGACACATCTGTTGGAAATAAACGGCGTCTCTACTAGCCTAGGGAACGATTCACTTAAAAAAACTCGTAACATCATGAATAATGCAAAGTAGAGCTTGAATATTTGACCTTATAACCATGAGAATATTAAACGGTGTTTGGCGCAAAAAGCGGAAAATAGATATTGTAAACCCAAAATCTCAATTATGCCCCGAAAAATAAATGATGCTAGGAGTTTAAATGAAGGTTCTTCCGAGTAAATGCGAGACAACAATTTACTTTGCGTGAATGCTCGATAAGAGAAGGATCCTACACAATAATTTATGATACAAATATTTTAACTCTGGTGTGAGCAGTGAAGTATCGCGCGAGACTGAAGGCGTTTTGGACTGGTGACAGTAGTCTGACATAGCTTACAAAAACTCGCGCTACGTGAAGGGGTCCGGTAAACCCACAGCCCTCCGGTTATTTATCCGAAGACGAGTTAGGATTCACCGAGATACCAGCACTTGAAAGAGAATTTGCAATTTTTTCCGATTGATTAAAAAGGCTTTTTTCGTCCATAACTCGGTTTTGATTTCCACAGCCTCACTTGCACAAAGGCTCCGTCCTGAAAAGTTATATTTCAACACGAGCGGCAACGTTGGTTGTTGGGGGGCCTCGAATGGACGGCAGTCGGTGTCGGTACATGTAGTGAGTTGCGGTGGTGTTTGCGGTCACGATGGTTTACAGGATGTTACACCGATAAAAGGCTCTCCGGGGAACAACGCATTAAACCTTGCGAAACTGCTGTAGTTGCGTTGCTAATGCAGCTAAAGCCCCTCAGCTAGTTCTCATGCGATAAGCTTTAGGGTGCCCAGCGGACTTTGGCTCTCTTCGCTTTGCCAACGAAACCGCGCCTGAGATTTAATCGCCCGGAGCCATCTTTGCACGTTACGGATAATGCAATTACAGGGATCGCTAGAAAAAAGGCTCAAGTTTACTTTCTCTCCTTCAAGTTCATGGCGATGAATTGTCCGCAGGTCAAAATATTTATCTCTTAAGTATCGCACTTTATTCTATGTGCGAGAAAGGACATTTTTTTTCCTCGAAATTTTTTATTACATTTTACGCGCTTAGCCGATGGCGCTTTTTGATTTCGACCTGCCTGTAGAATTCGAGTAAACTAGTGGCAATGCGTTCAAATGGCACACCGGCTCAATACCATGATGCCGGATGGGGGCTTCACATATTTCATAGATTTATCTGTTAAACCTTTATTTAATGCTTCTAATATCAAAGAGCAGGGGACGATAATAGTTTTTTTTATAATTCATTTTTTTAACAGTTGTGTTTACTTCTCTCAAAATTGATACTTGAAATTTTGGTGAGGCGAGTTCTTTCACTCAACGTTGTTCATCTGTTTCGGGGAACTTAAAAACGTGCCTATGTAGAAAACAACTGAGCGCTTCTCTAATACGAACGTATTAGAGCTTTCCCGCTTGTTTTTTTCCCTGCTTGTTTATTGGTTTATATTCCCTTGGGAACTACAGGCATCTATGGTTTATATTTATTTTCCGTAGACATCAAGAAATTCAGGCACATCCATGCCCCAGGCTTTTCAAATTTTCAGGGCTTAAGGCCGAATAGAATACATCCCTGCAGATCCTTTAGTCAGTTCCGTGAAAATTTAGCGCCACTACCGGGATTCGAATAGTGTTCTCTCAACTTAATCTGCCAACACTGTACTCCAATTGGACTGTATTTTGCAAAAAGGAATCAGAAGCAATGCCATTTTGCTAAGATTTTGCAACTTCACCCTTTGCAATAAAACCACTGTAATCATGCGAAAATATGAAATTTATATGGTAATTTTTGTCTTAAATTTACAGATTTTAGCGTGTAGAATAGAAAATGTTCAGATGATCGGAAGTTTTTCTTCCAAGACAAAAGGAATTGCACAATTTTAGCACCATTGCAATGCTCTTGGTTCCTTCTTGCAAAATGCAATCCAATTTTGCTCATCGGTAAGGTCCGGAATAACAGTTTTTTTATTTTTTACACATCGGAGATGCGCTGCAGATCAAATTTGCACATCCATTGCCGGGATCCACGAAAGTGCGTAATCACCAAGCAGGTCCTTTTGGTTCATCCTCTTTCTGAAACTTGAATGCCGTGGTTTGCTTTTTCTTATTGCATATACGAGTTTGCGACCTTCCCTATAAAGGAATACAAAAAAGCTATTAAAGAAAAAGGAGAAGCGAGGATAAACGATGTCTTCCTTTATAGTTTATTAAGTTATATGTGCTTTTAACCTGAGAGATATAACAATATCTCTGTGGTCAAAGCGACCTTGGTGAAGGAAATCAAAGTGAGTTGCCATCGCGTGCTGGACACAGAGGACTGCTCTGCCATGCTAAGGAAGAACGCCGAATGAACATTCGAGAGTTGCCAAATCGCCCCGGATAAAACATGTATTTTTGAGAAAGATTATGCGTATTTTTCCTTTAAATTTTCAGACATTTTAGACAAAATTGCGAACAAAGTTGTTTGAAAACATTGAAGAAAAACATTAACAATTTTCCCGGTAAACTCGGTTTTTATTGAAGTAAATATGGCAACCTCTGAAGGTTCATACGGCGTTCTTCCTTAGCACGGCAGTGTTGTTGAGGAGGGTTAGCTTTCCCTCATTTTCTCACGAGATACGAAAGTGTGGGAAAGCTGGGAACTGGACCCGGGTATTGGAACTTTTTCAACAGATTAAGTCCCGTGGCGAGGCGTGAATGATCGATAATCGATATTTCCCCAGTTGAAGATGTGGTAAAGAATCGATTAGTAAGGTGTTCGTTGCGAACACCCTGCTTATCGATCCTTTTTCATAGGTTTAAACGAAAGCTCGATCGATATATCGCAAAGCATACCACGCTTCTGATTAAGTCGCGCTTTGAGCCTCGGATTTAGACGCGTCGCGTCTGGAAAGGACGCACAAGGACAAGAGGAGGAAAGATGACGAGGAATGGAGGGATGGAGGGGTGAAGGGATGGAAGGATGGAGGGATGGAGGGGTGGAGGGGTGGAGGGGGTATCGACGGAGCTGTCACCGTGTAGCGCAATCCACGCAAAGGCGCGCAAATAAAGAGTCTGACAGTATGACCACCGTCAAATCCTTAAAAAGCCGACTGATACATTTTTTGAAGGCTCAAATTTTACTTCCCATCAATTTTTCCTCTCATCTCTCCCCCTCTCTCCTTTTTTTCAGGGGTGCAAAATCTTCTCGACCACACGACCGTGCAGACCATGATCGGTCGCGCGTGAAAATGGGAAGGCCCCAAAAATGGTGTTTTTAACTGAGAAAGGTGGCAAAATCGCTGTTTTAATTTTCTAGCAAAACTGCGATTAAAATCTACGTGTTTTTTGTGATTTCGTGCGGTAAAAAGCACGCGTTTTTCGCAAAATCGGGGGAATTGATAAGTAAAGAGCTATAAAAAAGGCATATTTTTGAAATTTCTGAGGGAGTTGATGGGGGTTTTTAAATGAGAAGACTAATTTAATTTCCTGCAGTCTTGGAAGGGAACCACATCTTTATGAAATTAAACTGATTGAATCTTTACAAATGACTGAATTGGTCTTTACAAATTATAATTATCATCTATATTCAACTGGATGTGAGTCCCTTGATTCAGAAAAAACTGGCTTTTCTTCTTGTTAAACATAGTCCAATTTAAATTGAAATAAAATTCACCGAACTCCATGGCACGGAAAAAATTCTATAATGAAAATTATTTAAGTAATAATATTAGAAGGATCATACTTTCAACCGTGCTGGTATTGGACCTGAGCATTCTATACAATTCCATTTGACATCAGTGCTTCCTTTCGCAGAATTGAGACATTGTTGTTTTTCTCTCGTGAAAGAGGGAGAACGAAGGTGCAACTAAGCAACTTGTCACCAAGTAAAACTTCTTTTCGAGGAACATTCGATTCCACGTGTAATCTTTTGACCGATTACTCACAGTCGGGAAATTTCTGAGAATTTACTGTATTTTCTCCGACTTCATTCTTCGCTTTTCTCCTAAGACCGTCACCATCAAGACTCAGGGGGCTCCACAATGGAAAAAATTTAAAGCAGAGAGAATGCGTATACACGATTTTATCAAACTTCAGAAAACTTTTTACTTCAGGGAGATCGTTTTGATATACCTACGCAATGCGTGCACATTCCTTTTTTACACAAAGAGGAAGCATTTGTAACATACTTTATACCTCTGTTGTGATATCTATGTGAAGAAGATGGAGATGTAAAAATCTTACATCTTCATCTTCATCTTCATCTTAAACATTTCTAGAATAAGATATATTCTATGATCTTCGAAAAACATTTTATTTTTAAAGGAAAAAAGATCGTGTGAATATTATTGTATTCATAATTGCTCCTGATGTGCACGAAAGTTTCACGTTTTCATAGTCTAAAATATCCTCCCATTCCTCATTACTAAGTTTAAGGTTTTCATCTCGATTGTTTCAGAATTTTGTAATTACGATACCTAAACGCTCGCTGCTCTCGGTGTTTCGGAATGAGATCCCGCTGGCTGACAACGAAGACCCGCGCGGTGGTTTTGCGATAATTGATTATATCCGTAGCGACTTCAAATCAATAAACATTGAGGTAAGTCACAAATATACGTTGTTTAAGAACGATAAAAAGATGCGTCCTCATTGGTAAATGAATCAGTGAGAACGAAAACACACAACTCGGAAAAATGAATATAGTCAAGACACACACAAAACTGCACAGTAGATGAAGAAATTAGTCTAAGAAAAAGATTTTTTGTGACATTTTAAAGGTCCAAGTTGGAACAGAGGCGCTAACTTCAATAACCTTTATAATAATTGACCGTCTTTAATGAAAGTTGCGCATTGTCGAGTTACCGAGTTGGTGTGTTTTCGATCTCACTGATTTAAATCACGTATGGACTGCATACAATTATTTCTCTTTTCGGCTTTAAGAATCTCCGATAAGGAGCCTTATAATGGGTCAGTTGCGCTGGTCCCATAAGCGTGTTACAAGAATAAATGATTGAATTTTGTCAATTAGCTAAAAATATTAAGACTTGGCCAACAGCAGCTTTCTACGTTCAATATTAACCGAGATATTGCGCTTTGAAAAATTCGGTTTATGACGTCATCCAACGCGGTAATGACACCTTCGGTTTCTTTCACCTTGCTTTCATTGGAGTCATTTCAAGATGAGTCACCAGTGCAGTGGCGTGGCGTGAATTACGATGTATCGATTGTTATGTCATTTAAACCCATGGAAAAGGATCGATAAACAGGGTGTTCGCAGAGAACACCCAAAGAATCGATTCTTTACGATAGATGTAAATGACATAACAATCGATACATTACAATTCACGCCACGCCACTGAACCAGTGCAAATGTGTTCATCATTGGAATCTTAAGCAGCAGTGCTAAGTCACGCCTCGCGCCATCGCGCCTTCAATTTTGCAGATGCGACGCGGACATCCGTCGAGTACGAATAGTTGTATCTCTGCGCCGTCATCAACGCGCGTACTTTCCATCGGAGATACTTAGACACGTCAATAACCGAAGACCGAAACCACGTATCTCAATTTGCGACATTGCAGATTTTCTTTTATGTTTTATGTTTGCTTTGGAACGCCACTCAACGTAATTACGTGTAAAATACCTTGGTTTATCTTCTCTATTAACAGAACAGTCTGTATTACCTTTCATGCTATAAGTTGGCTTGTTTTTCTTCAAAAAAATAAAATTTTGAGATACCAGTATTGAGATGCGTGGTTTCGTAATAAGGCTATCAATTTAAATCCATGTCTGCTTTTGATTACCGATCTTACGTTACCGTAAATACCATAATACACCATTTTTGACTTGGTTTTTTCAGTTTGTTCAGTTTTTTAAAGACTTGCGATTTATTGAGTGGCGAGGCGTGAATAATCGATTATTGATATCTCTCCATTTGAAGCTGTGATGGAGAATTGATAATCAGGGTGTCTACTAAAACAGGCTGGTCAAAAATAAGTACTTTTACGGTACTTTTTCAGCACATTCTCAAGAAATTCAGTACCAACTCCAACAGAAAAATTCCGCACTTTTCAGTACCTCCATTTGACGAATTTTCGAAATATTTCAAAAATTTGAAATTGGGACAAAAATTAAAAAAACTCCGGACCTTTAAGCGGAATTTCAGCACTTTTTCAATACTTCCGGACCGCCCTTAAAAAATCAGTGCTATTTCCGGACACTCCGGACTTGTAGACACCCTGATTATACTAAGGCGTTCGTCGCGGATACTCTGTCTATCGATCCTCTTCTGGAGGTTTAAATGGTACACCAATCGAAATATCTCAAAGCACACCGCGCCACCGGATTTCTAGGCAGACTTTTCGATGCTGCGCGGATCCTAAGCTTCCGATCGAGAAGCGAGCGACAGATTACGGGATTGAAAAGCAAATCGGGAAGCAATCACCGAAACTGAGTTGTCACTAAATCTTGATCTGGAGGGCATTCAAGAATGTTTACAATTCAAATGAGCGAATATTCAGATTGCCGCGCCGACGAAGCGGATTGTTTGATTAAAAAGCACGCGTTCTCCGAGCGTCCCCATCGTTCGCTCAATTTAATTGATTCAACATCCACCACTCCACCGGCTGTCATCCCCGAGTTTTAGTGTCTCAGTCTCACTATCGATAGCGCCAACTTCCATACTTCGCTTTTAATGGATATAACATTTTCCTCAAGCGGATATGTAAAATCCTCTCCGACGGCGTAGTCGCTCCACTCATAAACCAGCCAACTATTCTGCCGTGCTAAGGAACAACGCCGTATGAACATTCGAGAGTTGCCAAATTTCCTTCGATAAATTGTTCATTTTTTAGAAGTTATGAATATATTTCCTTTAAATTTCGAGAATCTTTAGGTAAAAGTGTGATCTAAATTAGGTTCTGAATCTGAAAATTTCGGAGGAAAATAGTCATGAAATTACCAGGAAATTCGCGTTTTATGAGAGGAAATTTGGCAACGCCTAAAGGTTCTTACGGCGTTCTTCCTTGGCACGGCAGTATTGGCTCTAGTTCCTCACATATCGCCGCTCCTCTGATTTGAGGGCGTATCCCCCATTTCAACATGAGCCATGCTGAAACATATGGAGCTATATGGAAAAGAGGGCCCAACTCAAAAAGCAGATACGCCCTAATGTCAAAAAAGCGACGATTTGGACTACATTTTGCAATAAGGAGCTACTATTTGGACCGCGTTAAGCAGATAGGAACCAAGCCACATCAGCTATTGCCAGATTTTATTGGGCAGTTTGATTTTTTACATGGAAACGGCTGTGCGGATTTTTATGCGAACAGTGAATTTTCTGCGTAGTACGAAGCGAATTCCTTAAAATTTTCAATAGAATCCGCACAATAACAATTTCTTGTAAAAAATTTGACTGCCCAGTTTTTGGCGGTAGCTGATGATGTTTGGTTCCTTTTTGCTAAACGTGGTCCATTTCTGGCCCATTTAAATAACAAACTATTTACCATTAGATTCTCTATGCAGGTACGCGCTTCCATGGATTTACTGCAAAATACGATCCATATGGATGCGGGCTCTTACTTAAAAACTAATACTGTGTACGTCTTATAATTTATACCGAACGAAATCTCATCACTAAGATGCATGTTTAAAGGCTGATCCTGAATAACTCGCTCAGTCACATTGAATTGCTCCACAAAATTGACCGTTTGGTCAAATAATGGACTACACTGAAAAGAAGAGTTTTTATTTCAATCTCACTCTCTTCACCGGCTATGTAAACATGCCGCCCGATTTCCGGGTTCAATGGCCGAGGCATCAGCTTATAAACTTGGAATTGACGGCCTCTGAAACTCTGGACTCTGTATGGACGACCTTTTGTGATGGATGATTTTGTCATCGATGATGCCATCAAGTTAAACTAACGTCATTAACCTCATATGTAACTCGATTAAGGTTTTTTTCAAAAAACGCATTACAAATTTGACCCGAACATACTTAAGTAACGAAATGACACAATTGTGCTAGGTCCAAAATAATCAGATTCAATTTCCCCTTGGAGTAGTGTGGACCCAGTACCACTCTTACATTGACTGATTATTGAAATGGATTGACAAAGCTATAGGCAAAGAAGACATACGGAGTATGGAACGATCCTTTTTGTTGAAACTGGTGGTTCTTACAGACTAGGGCGAAAAATGATGGACTAACTTTAAGGTCTCCTGTAGGTTCCCGTTAGTTAGTCTATTACCTACCTCCTTTGTCCATTGGAACAACCCGCTTCCACCAATAGGATCCCTTCTTATCCCTCTTGTCCTTTGTCTATAGATTTGTCTATCAATTTAAACAATCGCCAGTACCACTCTAATATTGAATGATTATTGAAATCGATAGACAAAGCGATAGACACATTAGACAGAGGGAGTATGGAGCCTATTGGTTGAAACTGGTGGTTCTTACTAACTAAGGAGGGGGGGGGGAAATGATGGACTAACTAACTATGGGGTCTCCTGTCGGTTCCCATTATTTAGTCTATAACCTACCTTCCTTGTCCATTGCAACCACCCGCTTCCACCAAAAGGATCCCTTCATATCCCTTTTATCTTCTTTGTCCATAGCTTTGTCTATCAATTTAGATAATCGGCCGGCACCCGGCTGATTGTTGAAACTGATAGACAAAGAGAACATAATGAGTACAGAGCGATTTTATTGGTTGTAATGAGTGATCAGGGAGAAAATTATGGAATGACAAAGGGTATCTCGTGGTGAGTTGCTGTTCCCTGGTAAAAATTGGCAGTAGGATCTGTGTTCCAAAATACCATAGACCTACAGCCGGCTGTAAGATTCCCAATAGCTTCTATAGCCGCTTCTATAATAATTTCTTATAGCCTTTTTATAGCCGATGGCGAACCTGCGGCGCGGCGCGGCGGGCGGGCAGCCAGCGCTGAACGCGCATTGCCGCCTACAAACCTAACAGGGATACTTCACACATTGCGCAATGCGTGAAGTATCCCTGTTAGGTTTGTAGGCGCCAGTGCGCCGCCTCGTCGCTCCGCTTTATGTTAGGCTCTGATATTTAATCGCGCGGAGTCAGCGTTTTTCAACTCATGACTTTGAAATGCTTGCACACTCTGTATAGATTATTCTCATTTTAATTGATGAAAAGAAAATATGTAGTAAAGGAAAATATAACGTGCGTTTTGTAAATATTAAGGTGATTCCGTACAAACTTAAGGATTTACAAAGCACAAGAATTCCTACACAATTTCTTATAGCCTTTTATAGCCGATGGCGAAAAAGCAACAGCCAGGCGAAAAAGTGTAAAGCCCGGTGATAGGAATAATAGCCCGGCTGTATACTTTTTTATCGCTTCGTGTAGCCCGGCCGTATGATTTTTTCCACTTTCTACAGCCAGCTTTATGATTTTCTATCGCCCTCTTCAGTCGGCTATAAGAACTCCCACACTGAAAAAAAAAACTCTGACCGTGGGAGCCGCAATTACGGGCTTTATAGACATACCGTCCGTTCCGGGCTCAAAGGCCGAAAATTCCGGCTGCTGGAGGCGTAGCTTCGATCGCTCCGGGTTCAGAGGCCGAAGCTAC